TCTTTCTTTAATACTGATAAACACACACTCAAGCCGGTGAAGCTTCAGCGTTTGGTGAGAGGTTGCATCAAAAGCCTTTGTCACCATTAACACATTCAGGCTAAACCACAGCAACCAATGACATTTACAAAGAATGTGTTTTTATTGATAGAAATTGCCAGTGACTCCCACCACTTCCCAACTGCTGCAACTTGTGTCTGCAGTTTCACTTCACAGCCTGGCACAGACAAGTTTCTGTAGCGAAGGTTGTTTTTTTCCCCATACACAGGTTGGTCGTGCTTTGTTTGCTAATCTCATAAACAAATAATTGAATCTTGAGTTTTAATAATAAAGAAGCACCTATTTTTCTATCTTGTGATTGTGTTCGTAAAATAAACATTTGCGCGGATTCTTGCAGTGACTCACTTTTTATTTTTTTTTACTGAATAAAACACTTTTCAGAAGCTGACCTTATAAAAATGAAATAAATAAATAAATAAACAAATAAATAAATAAAATAAGGACAATGATGTAATGCAGCTCCTGAGGTTCAAATATTGTGCAATCAGTGGGTTTGAAAAAAGAGATCTGATTCAGGTCATCCACTAGATGGGGCTAAAAACACACAATTCATCCTCAGTTTTATTCTTTTTTTGTAATGATTGCTTAAGGCCCTGTCACACTATCATGCTTTAGACCAGTGTTTCCCAAAGTTGAGGTCGGGACCCAAAGTGGGGTCCTGAAATATCAAGGTGGGGTCCTGAAAAGATTTTCTGAATTGATGACATTTTTGCCYTAGTTGTTACAAAGGAGTGAGGTTAGTGTATTTAAAATGGATAAATGTAGTATAAAAATATTGTTACTATGCCCATGTTTAGTTGACCTGATACAAATGTTTATCATCCAAAAATAGTTGTGGGTTCAGGTCTCTGCTAATGTTATTTTGTGGGTCAAAAGCTGAAAAGTTTGGGAACCACTGGACTTTGGTTCCCAAAGTTGGGCTTGGGACCCAATTACGGGTTTAGAAGCACCTTGGATAATTTCCAGAAATCACTTTAAAGGGTAATAAAATAATTGCTGATGTAATATTTTTTCTATAAGTATTACAAAAACACAAAATAAGTATAAATAAGTATTTATATTTGTGTACAAGCTGTTTAGACTGTCAAAAAGCCTGTGTTTTTAGGGTTATCAACAAAGTTTGTGTACTCAGACCAGTAATATTTGGGGTCACAAGTTGTTGCCATGGATATTTTGTGGGTCAGAAGATAAAAAAGTTTGGGAACCACTGCTTTAGACAACTTGTGCCAACTTATGAAATTAGTTTTTAGTCTAAATATTAAAAGTTATATAATTAATCAATTTGTTAACATTACAGTATGTACACGCCTAAATAAGGCTTCCGTTTGATTTTTTAATTCCAACTTTAACGTAAATGTCTTTAAAATTTTCACAAGTTGTCTAAAATATTTTAGTGTGGCAGAGCCTTAAGAAGACATGTTGAAAGTAGTCCTTTTTAAAACCCAACGATTAGCAGAGCAGCTCAGACCTTTTGCAAAATGAGACTTTTTTTTTGTAAAATATACACAAATTTCTAAAGTAGAAAGTGCTATGGTCACCCAACAAATATATTATTTCATCATTTGAAATGATTAAAATGTTATAATTTGATTTTACAAGTCATGTATAAAGCCCATAAAAATATTACTTTCAAATATTATATTAAATGTATACCCTGCTTCAGCTGCTGATTGTAAGATTTCACCAACCTCACAGGAAGTATCTTCATTTGCAATGCATCATGGGACAGTCCAGCATCATTATCGTCTTTGCTCCTGGTAGATGTGTGCAAAMCTTTGGTCATTTCGATAGTCGTGCTTAGAAATGCCAAAGAGGAGACATTCTGACACCTTTGTGAGATAAATGGGTTTCAGTGATGCTGACTCTGTTTCTAAGTCACACATGTGGGCTGGTTTTACTCCTTCAGTTTCATATGTTTCCTGTTGTGGAAATTTTTTTTACTTTTCTGTCTAAGCAACCATAAAACCCTGCCCTGTTGGTTTTCTGACTGACTTTCTCCCTGCTGTTTGGCCTTTTTTTTYATAATGCAAAATAAAAAGTTGACAAAATCAGAGAAATCATCCGTAGCACACTTTATAATTTATACTAGAAAGTTTTGAGCCATTTTGAGTCAGAAAAATAACCAAATGAAGTTCTTGTTGATACTTAGAATTGTCTGAGACACACTTTTGGAAAATAAAAATTACAGCTTTGTTTGGGACACCATGAAAAAAATCAAATCCAAAGCAAAAACATGTCCAGAAAATGTTTCATGTTTTGTTTCATCATCATATCTTTTAAATCACAGATTAGATGTAGCTCTGTAAAGCATTCAGGAAGAAATGTAAAAGTTTGAATATATGTTTTTAAACACTGTAATGCTGTTGTTCCATCTCAGCTGGCTGTAATTCTAACTTTTTATTGTAGTTCTTATAGATTTCTGACAGATTTTTGTATCAGCTGCTGATGGATGATGGTTCTGGAAGCTGAACCATCTGCTGGGTTCACGATCACAGGGGTCCATTTCAGGCCTTTTTGCAATTCATCCAAATTCCTCAAACCATTTTATATAGTTAGACACTAAATGAAAACATGCACATTTCTTCTCACATTTTAAAGATTTTCTCACTACTTTAGTGATCTAAACTGCAGCTTTTTCCAGAACAGAAAATGATTAAAAATACAAAATGTAACACAATTCTGAATCTCAGCAACCAAAAAGAAATATACTGTTTTATTCTAAATGAGCCATTTTCATCTTTTTATGTGATCTGTAAAGAAACTAAAGTAATTATTGTGAATCTGACTTTTTATAATAATTGACTCATCACTGGCCCCTCAGCTGGAACAGAGGAGAAGTGGTTTTAATGTGTAAAAGATCACACAAGAAGAAAACTATCCAGAGAGGAGGAAGTGAGAGGGTTGCAGGGAGCCAGAAATAACCGCAGCGTGTTTCTGCCCCTGCTTGGTATTTTCCACTCGCTTAAATCCCTTCTTCACCCCTCCTGTTCCTTCCTCGCTCTCCTCCTGCTCCTCCCCACCCGGCCCCTCATTGGTCAGCTGCTGGACCCGACGGAACTTATTCTGGCTCTGATCCGAGTGGCTCGGACTGGACTCGGAGGAAAGAGGAGCAGAGCGGTCAGCATCCGTGGCTTTGAGTCGGGGTGAGATGTTCATCTTCACTGGACTCCCTCTGACTGATGCTGTTTGTCTGTAAAACCACCCTCCAGCATCATGAGCTCCTCATCAGCCAACCTGCACAGCCAGAGACTGTCCTGTAAGTTCATCCTGCTCATCAAATACCTTTCTGCTGACGTAGCCTGTTTCTTTACAACTCTTCCCTTTGTGACCAGAATTCCTTTGTAGTTGTAATATTATGTAGAATAAGTTGTGTGTGTGTGTGTGTGTGTGTGTGTGTGTGTGTGTGTGTGTGTG